CTTGCCCTGCTCCTGTCATCTCCTTCGGAGGTAACCTGGGAAACACCAGGAGATGAGACTCACATTCTTTAGAGCAGAAGGGCCATTTGAAAGATAAGCTTCTGTCTGGCCGGGCGTGGCTCAGCTGGACAAAAGCATTAACCTAGGATCCAGGGGATCGAGGTTTGGTTCTTGGTCAGGGCACATGCCTGGATTGCGGCCTCGATCCCCAGCACAGGGGGAGTGCAGGAGGCAGCAGATCAATGACTCTCTTATCATTGATGTTTCCATCTCTCTCTCCCTCTCCTTTCCTCTCTCTGAAATCAATAAAGATATATAATTTTTTTTTTAAAGATAAGCTTCTGTCTAGATATTTGTCGACAAAAATAATACCAATTTGTAAATTAAAATGTCACCTAGTGGGACTTTTCCTTATGTGTGTGTTTTTAATTTTTTTTTTTTGAGTTTATTTGAGCAAAAATGAGGACATATGCTTGGGAGCAAGATTTTAAATGCTCTCGTATGTGTTTTTGTACAAGAAAGTTTCTATATGAAATACTTTCCATTGTTTTAGCTTTAAAGAAGAAAAGTATAAACCTCCATCTTGCTAATATTGAATACCTAAATTAGAAGGAAAATAAATCTATAAGGACCCAAATAGCAGTCTGAAAATGGGGCTCTCCAAACTGAAAATGAAAGTGCTGGCTCCACCAAAGCAGCACATTCTTATTTAAGGTCTCTGGTTGGCTCAGAGAAGGGTTATAAACTCTTTTTTGCCATCAGCAGGCTTCAGGTTTCATGTCACTGGTGCTGGAAAACCAGGTTTCAAACAGATCCGAAATGGGTAATATAAAATTAATAAACAGAAACCTAATTTAAAATGAAGTCGGGAGGCCAGAAGGGGGAGCTCTCACCCCCTACGCCAGTCACAAAGCCCCACAGGTAGAACTATTTGTTTAGAAGAGCATTACCAACTTATTTTTTTCTGTAAGAGTTTCCTCTCCTTTGTTTCTTGGGACTTGCACGTGGCTTGTTATCAGACCGCATGAACTGAATTGTCATTGTTTGTTGTTCTGAATAAACCCATTTTGCTGGAGAACTATCTGGCTATTTGTTTAAGGTCAATGGTAGCACATGATTCCGGCGGGTTTAGGGTCATTCAGCAGAGGTGCTGTATGCATGTGCTTGCAGCTTAGCAAGTTGTTTCCTTAAGATTCTTAGATCAGAAGGTAAACATCTCCTTTTGCTAAAATCTTCCTTCTCCGTGCAGAAATGAGAATGAAAGGAGCAAGTAAGTGAGATAGAGAACCTCAATGGCTACATCCCTCATCATTGGCAAAGACTCAAATCCTCCAAACTTCCTTACGCTGAGCAGCAATCTATTTCCTGCGGATCAGGTCTCCACTTTGAAGCCCGCAGAGAAAGAACTTTTTCTTCCCAATGACAACCCCTAGGCTTCTGTTCTAAGGAGAAAAATCCCTATTACCTTGATATATATATTCATTCCGGCATGCCAGTTTCCAGGCCCCCATCACCCTGGTCATTCTGTTCTGATTTACTCAAGTTTGTCCACGTACTTTATTTTTTTATTGAGGTATAATTGACATACAACAATGTATTAGTTTCAGATGTATAACATAATGATTCCATATCTGTATATGTTACAAAATGATCACCACAAAATTCTAGTTAACATCTGACACCATATATAGTTACAAAAAATTCTTTTCTTGTGATGAGAACTTTTAAGATCTACTCCCTTGGCAACTTTCACACATGGTTTGCCACTATACTTTTTAAAATTTGGCACTAGGAGTTGAAAGTTTTTTTTTAGGACGGAGTAGTTATGATACACACATGTCTGAGTAAGGCATAGGGAGAGAGAAATAGAAGTGACTTTGAGGAAGTGAGCTGGAGGATCAGAAAGATGGTATTGAAGGTGGCATGGGTGGTATTGAAAAACTGGACAACGTTTCAGGTGTAAGATGATTTAGAATTTGCTATGTTTCCTGGTGGGAAACAGGAAATACAGACCTGTTGGAAGAGGAAGAGGTTAGGACTGAAGGTGTAGCTTAAAGGGTCTTCAGCCTAGATGCAGGCTGTGGTAGCTAGTTCATTGAGGAAAGGGAAACACTCCCATTTCTGGGGTATCTAGGATAATCAGGCTGTGCCGGATGTTTTCCTGGTGTTAATATTGTCCAATCTTTACAATTTTGTAAGGTGGGGATTACTGCCCTCATGAGGAAGGTAAGGCTGAGAAAAGTTAAATCTTTTTCCCAGGACCGCCACCCAGTTACTAAGTGAAAGGGCTGGGACTCCAACTCAGATGAGCTCTTGGGGAGTGCGATGAGCATCTCAAGGACTTGTCCCCAAACAGTGATGTCAAGTATGAGTCACTGAGCACGTGTGCATGAAGGCTTTTTAGGTGGTCTGTGGTCCAAGTGCAGATTTAGTGCTTATGACATAACAAAGTCTAGTTAGTTGGGCAGCGGGGCAGCACAGGGACACCTGGCTTCAAGTCACAGCTCTGCCCCCTGCTGGTTGTGTGTTCGTGGGGAAATTTCTCCACCTTTCTAACCCTTAGTTTCTTCATCTATAAAATGGTATTAGTAATACCAACTTTGTAACATTGTTACAAGGACTAAATGAGATCATGTTTGTAATGGGCATATTCATGTATCTATGTAAGTATAATGTATATAAAAATATTTATATATGAGAAGTGCTTAAGTAGCAAGCATTCAACAAAGGGTAGCTATTTCTCCCTGCGTAAATTTTCATTTGTCCCTGGCACTCGACATCAAGTCTTTTTTTTAAATGGAGAAAGGGTGTGGTGGACTGTAACGCGTCACCTTGGCTAGGTTGAGCTACTTTTCCCAAAATTCCCTCCCTTGTGTGTTTCCAGTTAGGATGGCCCACAGAGACATTCTTGTGGGCGACTGAGAGCAGAAGCAAAGCAATAGCCATTTAGTTCACACACCTCATCATCCATTTGCTGGCTCACCTTGCTGGTGTGAGGCAGCAGCTGGGCCTACAACTGTCCCGTCTTCCCCTGACCCTCCTACAGCATCGCTGGCTTTGGGTCAGGTCTGTGTCTATATTTATCAAAACTAAGAAGTTTAGCTCAGTGATGAAGAGCCCCAGCTTCTGCAGGGCACCCATACCATCAAGGTCAGAGGCAGCAAGGACTGACACAGCTTCATTCCATCCTTGCTTGCTCTCTCCCAATTTACATCCACCCTCTTTCCAGCTGCCTGCTACTATGTATGTCTTCTAGTTAGGGTTGCCAGAATTAGCAAAGAAAAATAAAGAATGCTCAGTCTAATGTGAATTTCAAAAAAACAACTTTCTAGTATATGTGTATCTGAAATTAACATTTGACTAGGTATCCTGTTTTGTCTTTTTTTCTTTTCTTTGGTAATTCAGGTAATCCTAAGGTGGGGGGGGGGG